CATCATCATCATCATCATCATCATCATCATCATCATCATCATCATCAGCATCATCCACTGTAACTGGTAATGGGATAGACCCAAATCATATGACATTCACCTTGGAAGAGACCCACATGGAACCTGATGGCATGGACCAGACTGGGGAAGTTGTTTTCAGGGTCCATGTGAGTCTCTTCCATGGGCATATATCGAAGTTCTTGAACTTTGGGGCTCACCTATTTGGTCATTCCCTTACCAGCACCTTCCAACAGGTCACCACCTGCCAATTTTACGCCTGCAGAAGTCACCATTTCAGAGACCTGTTGGAAGGTGCTGGTACCAGGAGTCACCAAGGGGTGCCTATTGGAGGATAGGGTTGCCCACAACATCCACTCACTAAAACACCCAAAAGCACCCCTTTGTGTGTGTTGTGCTTGGTATTTCTAGCCTTTGATGGTTTGGGTTTCCTCTCCAGGTCCTAAGAACGCCTTGGTCTTCATGTCTGTCCGTTCAGTTCCAGGAGCCTCTCAGTTCCAGGCAGCAGCTGCGAGACCTTCTGCCTGGACCGTCACACACTGCGTGCTATCTCGGTACAGCTGAAGGGGGGCCACAGATGGGTGGCTTGGGCAAGAAGTGCTTGGGGTGGTCTTATGAATCCAAAGTCTACCAGGACCTTCCAAGTTCCGTGGTCCCGTAGTCCTGAACCTCTAAGATGAAAAAACACACCTCCTCCTATTTGCATTCCTGGTTTTGCTGAAGATGATTCCCAGGACCTTCAGTACGTGTCCGAACTTAAGATCCTAGTGGCAGAGGTCACGATGGCTCGCTCGTCCCTGTTTAGAGGTCACATACGTTCGACTCCGAAAAGGTCACGAACTGTTCAGGTCCTAGTTACATACTCATGTCAACCAGTTCTTAAACCGTGATCCTTCTTAAACCATTATCCTTCTTAAACCATTATCCTTCTTGAACCGTTATCCTTCTTGAACCATACTCATGATTTCATGAATGGTCTTGGATCTATATGGGATGATTCCGTTCGCATCCGTCATGGGTCCGTCTTCCGTTCGCATCCGGATTCGGGTCTCTCGGCGGATCCGGGTCTCCCGGGGGGACGGAAGAGGCCGGGCGAGGCCTAGGCGGGCCTAGGACGGGTGAAGAGGGAAAAGATCGAAGTAGACTGAAAGGGATCAACCTCTAAGAACGAACTTCCCCCCATCCGACAAAAAAGACATGTGTATCTGTGTTGCTTTTTGTTGAAGCTTTTTTTTGGGGGGGGAGGTGATTCTTCATGTTCCTGGGGTTTCTTGGAATGAATGTTGCTGGCACCGGCGGAATCTGTGTTAGCATGGCGGAAGTGTTCCGAAGCAAATCCAAGAAGAGGGGAGACCTCATGAGACTTGCCTTAACTTCCGCAACGGACACCACCTCTCTCTCCAACGGAGGACGTTCTGGCCCGTGGAAAATGGAGAAATGATCCGAAGACCAAACGGTGGTGATCTGCAACACTGCACGTTCTGACTGCAACAAAGCATAAAGAGGATGTACTACATCAAGTGATTCAAGATGCTCTGCCCTGGCAAGGTGCCGGTGATGAGTTCTATGCAGATAGTTATTTCAAAGGGCCATGTGTAGATGAGGCTTCATACGCTTCAGACCATGTCCGATCTATAAATCTATGATTTATGCACTCTCAATCATTTCCAAGTCGATGCAAAATCCCAGGTGTTCTTGAAAACGTGTGCCAAATTCCGGGCGTAGATCATAGAATATATTAGAACATCATTGGCGATGAACATGTTCGCCATCAAAAAAGACATCACATACAATCCCTAGGGATCCAAGTACCTTCTCAGAAGGTACTGGTACTTGGACCTCCAAACCTACATAACAGTTCCTCCAATCACCGAACCTGAGGTTCGGTACGACTGGATCCCTAGGGAATCACTATCAATCACTCATGTCTTTTTCGGACCTGCCACCATCCCAGGTGGTCTTCCAGAAGCTCCGAGGCTTCTCGGCTGGAGCTCTGGTCGAGTTCGCACCGGTCTCAACGCTGGGGACGCGACGCGACGGGAGACGTGGACGTCGACGTCAACTGGTGGGTGCTGAAGCCAACAACTTGGTGACCCACCAGCCTCAAGGAAGTGACCTGAATCCTCTGGCGGTCGACCTGGGTTTCTGAAAACCGAAATCGGACATCTGAACGCACGGAGCTACGTTCGGAGGCTGGGAGAGAACGGTGGGCCCGCAAAAAAGCCTCGTGTGTCCTCGTACTCCTCGCACTGTCGGGTCCAAGGCTGCCAACGAAGGTCCCTTCCAAGCTTTGTCCAATTGGAGTCAGTTTGGAGAGGTCTCCTGAGGTTTGCACACAGAGTGTCCATGAGAGGCTACATGCATGCTGCATGTTTATTCACATGCAGTATAGATGTGAACTTGCTTTACGTGTGTCGGTTGTCCAAAGGGATCGAGTTTGACATTGTCAGGGAACACCTTCCCAAAGCCCATCATCAACCAAAATCAATCTCTGGAGCATGTTGAGCTAGGGTCCTCTTCCTTTGGGTCCACCTTAGCCTTCAATGTAATTAGGGTTCCTGGCCTGCTTTGGTTTTTAAAAGGTTTTACCGTTTTACCCAACAACCAATTCAAAACAAGGTCAAGTGTTTTAGATAGTCTTCGAAGGCAAGGGTGTAGGTACGGGGCATTTGTCCGACGAGTTGTGCAGTTCTGCAGTTCGTTTTGCAGTTCGCCGGTCCAGGATTCCAATCCGCTGCAGATGCCCGGCAGCAAGGGCTATTCGCAAGGTACCAGCAAGGTACCACTCAGTTAGTCGGCTCAGCGAAAGAGTGTGGGTTCATTCCGAAAGAACCTCCTGTGAGTTCCGACTCAAAAACCTCAAGTCTGTGGGAGTCAAAGATCCCTCCAGTCAGTGGGAGTCCCCAAAACATGCAATTCTGCGAAGATGTGGAGAGTTGGTCAACATACTCTATACCAGGGCCCCCGGAGAGGGGTGTTCAATAATAGCTCCTTAGAGGTGAACATGGGTGTCTATTCACCACCCCAAACCACCGGGGGCCCTGGTATAACTGCTTTTTTGTTAGGACATCGGTGTCACAAGATGTCCTATCCGAGAGTTCAGCAGTGCAAGTGCCTGAGTGTATATAAAGGTGTTCAATTCCACGGAACCATACAGAACGATGGTTTTGTTCGGCATGCAGGGCGTGGACTGCGGCGCCGGCGTGTGGAACGTCGGTATATCCATCCAAATCCGTTGTGAGGCATCCAAATCCGAGCAACAACAGCGGGTCCAGACTCGGGGGCAAAGGCACCAAGAAACACTTGCACCCCATTCGCCTTCAAACGTTGGACCACATCCAAAAACAGTTTTGACAGACCTGGTTTTTGGAGTGTCAAATCCTGAGTCAGCGACTCACTGGTTCGGTAAGAACTTGTTTGGTAAGAGCCGTTGAATTCACGGTGGGCCAGGAATCTTATACCCTAGGGCTCCAGCCGTACCTTCTCACAATGTATGACGGGACCCTCCTGGCACCCGCCCACCACCGAGTCAAGGACTCCATCCTTGAAGAGTTCCCCCTGACCTCGCTGGGTGCCTCGCAGCGCGCGACGAGCATCGCGTGGTGCACCACGCGGGACGCGGTGCTGATCACCTTCGTGGGAAGCTCGGGCTTTGAGATGCGGAGCGGGTACGGGAGCGAGTGATGATGTGTGGCTACTGCCTTGACCACATGGCTCTATTCCACCTGCAGGTGCCAAAGATAGGGGCCACCAATTGTTCGATCGGTTCGATGCATCCGGATGTTAACGTGTTGTTTTCTTCGCTCGACGTGGCAATGCCGAGGAAGTCATGCGATCCACGTCTATCAGAAGGAGAAGACTGTTGCTTGGACCTCGCGACGGACACGTGAAAACTGCCCTTGTTGGGGACCCATCCCAGGGATGTACCACCACAGGGTCCTCTACCAGGGCCCCCTAAGGGGTGGTTAATAGACATGGACCTCTAAGGAGCTATTAATAATTATTGAACACCCCTATCCGGGGGCGCTGGTATAGTATTTAGTATTCTCAACCCAACTTGGTGGGTTTCTGGTTCGGGGTTACCGGGCTTGGCCGTCTTGGGTTTTGGCATGTTTTGGTCGTTTCCACCGTCTTGGGAGGTTACCCTAGTCGACGAACTTGCTTCCAGACGCAATATGAGTGCGCAGTTGCTGAAGTGCCTCCAGTGGCTTGAAGGGGAATAGGAACAAAAGAACAATTCCCAAGTCCCCTGATACCTTCTTAAACTCGGAGTTTCTGAACCTCTCCATGTGTCCAACATTCTTTCAGTCTCCAGTCCCGTTTGGGTCACCCGGACACCCGCGCCGCTCGCGTCGATGGCCAAGGGACCTTGGACGGAAGCCACGTTGGGCGATCTGGAGACGCCCGGATTGGCCGGGCTCGTTTGTGGATCCAAGTGGGCTTTCATCGAATGCGAAGGCGTTGGCTATCTCTGGGTGCGGTATTTCGTGGTCGTCGTGTGCTATAGCTGTGAACGATGTTTTGGTTCTGAACGATGTTATCCCTATAGGTTTCCTCTTAGGGAATGGGATGTTGGGTGGAGAAGTTCTCTTGGGAATTGGATTGCTTTTGTTTTCCCAGAAAAAATACGACAAACATATCCAACCTAGGTGGACAGTTCAGCGAACCGTGATCTTTGGTCAGGCATTTCTCATTGGTCTCGGTGTCGGGGTGGCCACCTCTGCCCTTGAAGCACTGCAGCCCTTGGGAACTGCATGTTACATGATCATTTCACACACCTGGATCTTCCCACAATGCCGAAATTCTGCCTAACTTGGCTGTTATGAATGATTATAGTTACAACATGCCATGGCCTGAAGTTGTTCCAGTTGGAAGGTCCAGGTATATGGAGGGTCACGGTAGATCATGTCGAGTTCAAGCACCAAGACTGGTCCCCGTGGTTCACCCCGGTGTAGTTGATCTTCCATCCAGTGTTCCCCGTAGCCTTCAAAGGCCATTAAGAGAACGGGTGACATATGTTGACCTGGTGTAATTCGTGTAAAAACTCCTTGGGAAAACCATGGACTCCTTAGGAAAACTTAGGAAAACCATGGTTGGTTCAGTCAATACCCTTAAAACAAGGGTTCTTCCAATCCTAGGGGTTCAATTGGCTGATGTCCATCCCGATTCCTCGTTCATCTTAGGAAGCGCGGCTGCGTGGATGGCCCTGCTGACCAGCTCCGCTTCTGGTTCCCCAGCTCTGCCCAGAGCGAATCCGTGGCTGAAGCTGAGCAGCACGAAAGGGGGCCTCCAAGGCCGTTGGTTCAAAGAGTTCCGTTGACCTGGTGTTGTCGTCGAAAATGCTGAGTACATCCGTGGTTGTACAAACCATGAAATCAATGGCCAGGAATCCTAGGGCATGGCTACTCCGGTGGGTGGCGAGTGAAGCCATTGTTGTCATTTTGGGATGAGGGAATCATTGGAAGTTCCACCAAAAGATCACTACCCGTGATACGATATTTTATTGTTTGGGATGTTTTCCGTGGTCTTGTAACATGTACCAGCCATTCGCCAGGTCAAAACCCAATGAGATGAGTCCTCAAAGGCCTATATAGACTTAGAGCATGATAGAACTGAAACAAAAAACCTCTTCACCAGTTCCTGGTTAGTTGAAGCCTACACCTAAGACATGGATCTTCTTTTGGCTTCCTGGCTTCCGCGATTTGGTCCATGCCATGCCATGCCCTTCACATCATCCTGCGAGGAGACTTCTCCGCTCCTACCAGGGCCCAATGGAGAAGTCTATGTCCACAGTGGAGGTGCCTTGATGTTCCTTGGCACGTGGCCGACATGGTTTGTCTGGTCAGGGCTGAGCCTGGTGGTGGGGGTTGGAATGTGGTAGTTTCTAGGCTTCTGCAGCGTGTGATGGAAGTTGATGTGTTTTTCTTGCCTGAAGAGGGTGTGTGTTGTTTGAATAGTTCTAAACGACAACTGTTGGAAACCCTTGGAGGTGATTCTATCAAATGGATGCACACTTACCAAGTAAACATCACGAAATCCCCATGCAAGCAACTTGTTGAAGCACCACCCGGTCCGACTCAGTGACTCAGGATGAGCTGGATGACAGAAATATACTATCAACCAAACTCTTTTGGGATGGCTCTTGATGGACCATGATACAAACTTGACAAGAAACGGATCAGAGACCTCAACAAAAAGCAAATCCATGCAAATCCAAACCACAGATACTCTATGCTCCAGATATGCCCAGATCCTGCAGATGGTGTACAGATCCTGCCGGTGTACTTCGGATCGCCCACGTAGCCCACCGAAGGCTGCTCCATGGGGACCTCTCCGCGGCGCGGAAGGTGAGTTCCATGAGACGCTGGGTGCAACTCCTGCCCGTCGAGCGGCGGATTGCCGGTGCGACCGGCACGGCCGGTGGAACGAGGGTGGTTGAGCCTTCCGGAAAAGCGTGGTACTAGTAGCGATGCACTTGTTACTACCTAAGGACGTGTTGGAAGTTTTACAGCTTTACTGGAGTTTTACCGTGTTCGTAACAGACCCCAAAAGACTCCCCTTCCAGTAAAAAGAACTCCTTCAACTCCTGGCAGTTCGGAAGTGGTCGAGGTATTTTCTCAAGCATGAGAAGCTGACCGTCCTCTTGTTCATGAGAAGTTTACACTAGGCTTGTTACATTACAAAACGAGGTCAACCAACTGAAATATACAACATGGAAGGCTAGGCTCAGTATCTCGACCTTGGTAAGTATTCGCAATCGAAAAAAGAATGGCCGTTCAGAACTGGCCATCTGAAAAAACCGTTCGCCGTACGTTCGACCAGTTAAGGAGAGGAGCTTTGGATGACGGCCACTGGGATGGAAATCGGAATGCTGCTGCTGGAGAGTGGCAGACCATCACCTGGTTCGAGACAGGACATGTTTCTTGAGGTTTAGTGGAGGTAAATATATAAATGGTCTTGTTCTTGTTATATCCTTTTTAGGGTCTTGATATTTAAGAGATTGGAATTCAATCATGTTCTTGAATGCTGTTGGACTTCTAGAGGTTTTGAAGGGTCTTGTTTTTTGTTTTTGAATGGAGGCTCCGGGTCAGGGTGTTTTTGTGGAGGGAGCCGTGGTTTCAATCAGTCAGCTTCCCAGCAGGAAAATGTGCTGCCTCTGATGTTTGTTTAGAGACCCCTCAGAGGCGGACATTTGGAATGTCACACTCTTCTCCGCCCAATGTCGCCACCTCTGCCTGCACATCCGGAGTGAAAATCGCTACCTCTGACGCCTGGAACAGACCGTCAAGGGGGCGCCACGGTCCTTTGTGGGTGTTGTTTGTTGATGGGGAGAGTGCAGTGTTGCTCCCAGGGAGAGTGTATGTTTTGGGGTACGGAAGTGGAAAGGACATGAAATCCTTTGCCAAACCAGTGGTGAGTTCACCACTTCCATGCTTATTCCAGGGAGGGTACTTTGTTACGTTTGATCTACACACGGAAAAAACAGGTGTTGTTCCACTTGTTTTGATTGCCGTTGGTTCGCAGAAAGGCAGAATGGGGAGCTCGTTGGGACAAAGACCAGACAAATCGTAAGCATGATGACAGGACCTGACTGAGAGGATTTGTTACATGACAGGACCTAAGCTTGACAGGACATGAAACCATTGCTTGAAGAACTTGGCAACAGCAAAAAGACGTAGTATGACAATGATAGGAAAATGCGATCGGGAATTGTTTGAAGCTATAACTCTGTTTGATGCCTTTTGAGTGCATTTTGGAGTATCTATTTTCCTGGAGCAGTGGGAAGTCGATTCCTTTGGGCAGTTGATTTATCTATTTGGTGCCCGGATAGATGAAGAATGACGTGTTCCAAGTCCGTACATGTGTCCGGACCAACGTCTCCCTCATGAAACTCCACAAACAGCAGGGAGAGAACCACACGTTTGCCAAAATCAACTCGTTCGTGACACCGTTGTCGTGTGATGTTCCTCACTCCCCAAAGCCCGGTAGACGACTCCCGGCCCACCATTGACTCAGCTATACCTGACCCTTCAGGAGGACCTAACCCCTATCAGTCGATTCCACTGATTCCACTCCCCCAAACATTTCCTGACCCCCTCGGTATAATACCAAGACACGACACATAGGACGGCCATGTCGGACTGCCTTCAAAACGGCCAGGGGTGCTTGACTGGGGGTCAATGTAACGTTTGGGATAGCTTTATATTATATATCTTTATATTATACCGAGCTCTTTCGCATCGTTTGACTCAGCTCGTGGCAAATGCTGAGCTTCGTCCACCAAAGCATCGCGACGACCCGTGGACGACCCGCATCGCTGGCTGAGGAACAGGACGAAGGGACGCCCGAGTTTCCGATCTCCTTCCACTGCCTGGGCGTCCATGAAGGCGAGAAAGATAGAAAACAAGACTCCTATAAGATCAATGACCCCTCCTCATTGGAATTGGACATCCTCTTCATACGAGGGGGGGTCATTAATCAAGAGCCCCTACATTACAACAAGAACCGACCGAGGCGGCGGGCCATCAAACAGCCGCCATGGAGGTCACCAAAACCACCCGGCCGCATCAGCCAAACAATGGCCGCGTTCTTTGTTGGACTCGGAGGGTCAATTCGGCGGAAACGGTTTCGTGGATGATCCTCATCGCGAGGTCCAGACTTCTGCGTTCAAGACACCGGACACAAGACGAGAGGTTTTTCGTGACCTGAAAAAGGACCCAACCTCCACCGGGGGTATCCCGGTCCACCTGGGGTATCCCGGTCTGCCTGGGATAGTCGACTTATAGGGTCCAACCTCTGTTGAAACCTTCGTTCGACTGGCGATCTGGAGCAGAAAACCTGAGAGTTCAGTTCGACAAAAAAGGGGAACACCTTTGGGCGTGTCGAACTGATGTTCGGCCTCGGTCGAGTCAGAAGCAGCAAATCGAGTTGAGAAGAAGTACCCTGGACCCGAGGGGTGGGGAAGTTCCTGTACTTTGGTGAAAAAGATGGTCGAATTGGATAGCGGCGTAAGACGCGTCGTTCTGATCCTCGGTCCAGACCTGTGAAACTATGGGAACTCCACCGAACCTCAGGGATCCGTTTTCGTACCGAACCTCAGGTTCGGTACGACTGGACCCGACGTGACTGGGCACCTACATAACAGTTCCTCCAATCACCGAACCTGAGAAGGTACTTGGATCCCTAGGTTGGATCCCTAGGTTGGATCCCTAGGGCCTGTTTGCATGTCACTGGAAACCATCTCCAGCCTATCGAACCTGAGGGAAGGCCTATCGAACTTTGCTGCGCAGCGACTGGACCTGTGTGGCCCGGGCACAAAACAGTGGGTTTCTGGTGGAAAGCTGTGCAAGCTGTAGAGGGAGAGTTCATGCGCATGGGTGTCCCAGTTTATTCTTTGTTTTGGAAGATTTGTAGGCCATGGTTAATTTCCTGGCCCACCCTGACCCACTACCCACAGACTCATTAGACCCTCATGGTTCGCTAGTGAGGGTCAAAAACCAACATGCAGCAGTCAACTGGTTCGCGCCTGAAGGGGTTGCCGCTGGGTAGGATTCCTAGACTACAAGAGAGTTGAACCAGTCAACTCTTCGAATGAAAACCGCTTCCTCAAACAGGAGACATGAGAGATATGAACCTGACTGGCTGGATCGGAGGAAAACCGCTTCCTACCGAGTTCTGAGTTCTGAGACAATTACCTGAACACCTGGAGATCCAGAGTCGTACTATTTTAGAAACCCATATACACTCCATGTATGGAATATGTGCCTACATTGACCCCTATGGCAGTCCCATGGAGTGTTTGGGAAATAGTCTTTCTGTTCCCCGTCTTCAGTGGATCTCAAAGCTGCAACATTTAGTATAGAGCTTGATTGACATAAAGGACATATATAACATATATATGATGTCTATAGGGGAAGTGTCTCACAGCTCTCTTCTCTTAGACCAGACCAGATGCTTCTTCTTCTAAGTGTCTCACTGCAGCAGTTCTCGTTCGATGCAAGTCCTAACCTCCCAGGAAGTCCTGCTCCGCCGCCTCCAAGTCTCCAGCGTTCTCCGCGCGCCGCGGAGCCAGATCCGTCGCGACCTGAGCCGGAGCGCGGGCGGTGCCGGTGGGCCACACGGGCCACACGGGGGCGGACGGAGTGGAGGATTTGGGAGGGCGAACGAAGTCGGAAAAAACAAAAGCAGTGATGGATCTGTCAGGTGGAACAGTCGGGGAGAGCTCAGTGATGGATCTGTCACTTCTAGAACGCCCAACAAACAACCAACATCCACCATGATGGTCTGAGGTGGATATTGCGGAGATACCTCAGTTCTAGAGGAAACCTGGAGGGAAAACAACAAACTCACATCCACCACCCGGACACGACACATGGGACTGCCATAGGACTGCCGCCCCAGACAGATGAGGGGTTCATAGGGGTTCAGTTTGGTCACTTCTTCGGAAGAAGCTGGAGGGTTCAGTTGCGGTGTGCAATACCGAGGTTAAGAAACCAACCTATAAAGGACCCGGTCGGACCTGGGGTACCCAATTGGGATAGTCTACAAGGTCTTTCAACCTCTGGTGGTATGATTGAAACTCTGAAGTTGCAGATACGTTGGGCGATTTTGATGCATTAAAAAGACGTCTCAACGGTCTCTAGAAGGCTCACGAAACTCGAAGAGATGGCCGGAGGAATGCAGGAATGCAGGATGGACTTGTCCATCAACAACGATTGGTGTCCAATGCTTTCTTGCCCAACTTGACATCAAAAGGTTTGTATCATGCTGTTGCCCAACTGGGTGTTTTTTGAATATTTTTGGAGTCAATCGATCAATACACAGGCAATAGCAATGCTATGATCACGCCCTCCAAGCATCACAGCAATCATCACAGCAGAGGAAACCATTCCACAAGAAACCCAACAGAGGTGGGTCAGAACCCCCGTAGACTATCCCAGGCCAGGGTACCCCAGGTTTTCCGGGTCCTATGGTCCCGGTCACTGGCTACCTACCTCTCTTGAAACGCTCCCAAAAATTCGACGAGTTCCGTCGATCAGCAGATGGTGAAGGGAGTTGGTTGGGGAGAAGATCCCATTCCACCCCTTGGATTGTGCTTCTTGTTGTCACTTGGATTGCAGGCCATGTATAGTATATAACAAAGAACATGAACAAACCTCTTATATTTGCGAACCTTTAAAAGGCTCAAGAGTCCCAACCAATACACGCTCTGCTCCGAACCCCCCACGTCACTGCAGGTGTCTTGAATGCGTCTGTCTCATCTTCACTCAGGCGCCCAAGCGCCGCAGCTCTGGCCCAAGATCACCGAGCCTCTGGGCAGCGAGATCCATTCGGTCCGGACGTCGTGGAGATCGGCGTGTCGTGTGTCGGTGTCGCACGAGACGCGAGACGTGGTACGCCTAGCGCGTTGAGGGAAGCGTGGTTGAAGTTGAGGGAGGCCAGGCCAGAGAGGTGAAGAAACCTGAAAAGGGACCGTACCTGGGGTACGTATGGGATAGTCTACTAAGGTCCTTCAACCTCTGAAGCGGTAAGAGTCGAGGTGAAGAGATGTGCAGTCAGGAGCCAAGTGATGACGCTCATATATGGCATGCTACATGGAAGTGTATAGACCTCTTAAACGAATTAGAACCAAAAATAGCTAAATATAGCCATATCGCGCGCTAAATATGCCAGCTCGATGGGGTCGTGTTTGATGATGCTCCTTGAGTGCTCGGTTTGGGGAAGGCTTTTGGTGGCAAGTGGGCCCGCGTCACGAACACACCAGACTGAGAGATCGTCATCGAGGGATCGTCATGAGGAGTCTTCAACAGGCCTGACTGGGCGGAGTTCCATGGGGGGAAAGCATCAAGTTGCGAAGCAGACCCGAGCCAACAGACAAATCTGAAAGGGTTTTGCGAACGGAAGAACCATGGCACACTCCATGTATGCTATGCCTACATTGGGGAGGTGCCAGGGGGGTCAATGTAGGCATATTGTATGGCAGTCCCATGTGTCGTGTCCGGGTGGTGGATGTGAGTTTGTTGTTTTTCCTCCAGGTTTCCCCTAGAACTGAGGTATCTCCACAATATCCACCTCAGACCATCACTGATGACTTGCGCTCCGGCTCCCGACCTGGCGCCGCGTTCGCGTTCGCCGCGTTGCGCCGCGCCCAGGCGGCGCATCTTCGCCGCGGACGACGCGCCCGTGGCCTGCTGCATGACGAGCTCGCACTGGTGCGCCACCCGTGGATCGGGGAAGCACGGGCCCGTGGGAAACGTCCAGCGCAAAGCATCCGGGAGGGGTGAGAATCCAGAGACCTCATCTGAGCATCTCTCCAGATGGCATAAGAGATCGGAGGAAGCAAGTGAGGCCAAACATGATTGAAGCAAGTGCTCCAGCGTTTTTAGGGGCTTCCTCATTTCTTCGCGATGGAGCCGGTGGAGTTGGGTTCGCTTTTCAGGTTTGGTGCAAATCCCCAATCCCAGACACTCCATGTATGCCATATATTGACATGAAGTGTCTGGAATTGGATTTGGGTGAAGGAAGTATAGTCACCCAATGGAATCCGTTGCGTGTACGTGTACGATCGAATTCGGGCGCAATCGAATAGCTCGTTTATAGACGAATCAACACCGCACATGAGGAAGATGTTCAATCCATGTACCCAAAGGCTCATTGGACCCTCATAGCGGCACGGTTTTGACCCTCACAGCCAGGGTTTTGGACCTCCAACATGTAGCAGTTGGTTCGGGTCCAGGGTCGCCTCTGGGTATGGAATATATGCCAGTACATGTCCAGACATGATAAAACCTCCGCGGAACCTGAGAGATGTCTTTTCAATCGGTCCGAGTCTATAGTCTATAGTAGCAAGGGCATCACTACTATAAATAACAAGGGAATTACTATCATAGTAACAATAAGCTGCGTTCGTAGCGATGCACTTTGCTACTAGCAGCTTCTTGTTACTATAGTAGTAATGCCATTGGTACTAGGAGCTATTAGAAGCTTCCGCGGTGTCAACCCGTTTCGCTCGCGTTTGGCGGGTGCTGAAAAGGCTGGCGCCGGATCACTACAACGAAGCCGATCGCGATGACTGGGATGGTGCCTTAAATCGAAAGACCTGGACCGAATGGAGTGGATACGGCTAAAATCGGATGGCTTGGCATACGTCCAATTGACCCTGCCTGCCCTTGCAGGGGTTTGGAGTACGAAGCAAACATCTTCACCAAATCGGGGCCGGTCAGAAAGGCTGGAAACGGTGGGTTTCATCCGACTTAGAGCACCCATAGTAGCCTGCTAGCCCTAATGGAACAGAAAAGGTGGGAAGACCATCCAGCAGAGGTTGAAGAACCCTATAGACTATCCTATAGGTACTCCTGTAGGGTACTATAAGGTCACTTAACCTCTGTAGGATCCTATCTCTTCCGACCTCTGTCGGAGTCCAAAACGAAAGGAAAAACCACTCTTGGGGCCCCTGTGAATGTGTGCGTTCTGCGCGAGGCTTTGCCAGTGGGGCCGAGTATGTCTTTCTTTAGCCAAATGATCAAGGGACCTCAAGAGAAAAGGGGCTGTCAGAATGTCCAATTTAGAGATGACTGAGACAGTTCTTGGTGGATCTTCGTGGTATTTCGTTCGTTTCAGACCAGTTTGTACTTCACAGGGGTAACCCTGAGTTGCCAAGTGATTACTTACAGTGGTTCACTCGGGACAACAACGCTCGGCTCGACGGACATCTGAAAATCCTCAACCACTTTGGATCTCCCTTAGCCGTTTTCAAACAAGCGAGGGGGGTGACGTTTGGCAATTTCATGTTGGATTTCCTTTCGGGTGAGTATGTTTTTAGTGTGTATGTTTAATTGGTTTCAGATGTTTTTTTGTTGCTTTGCTTTTGCTGCAGTTTGCCTTGGTTGCTGCTTTGCTTTTGTTCCTTTTGGTGTTCTTCTGCTTTTTGCGTTTGCTATCTTTTGCTGTTTGCTTTTGCTTTCCCCTCTTTTTGCTTTTGCTCCTTTTTTTGCTTTTGCTGATTTGCTTTTGCTGTGTTTTCATTTTGTTGTTCTTTTTGCTTTTGGTGTTTGCCTTGGTTTTTGCTTTTAACTCGGCTCTTTTGTTTTTTGTTGCTTTGGTTGTTTTGCTGCTCTTGCTGCTTTTCTGCTCGTTGCTTCTGTTGATGTTTATTGCTGTGCTGCTCTTGTTGCTGTTCGGTCTGCTGTGTGGTGCATTACTGCGCATCGACATATCTAATCTATCTATCAATCTATTAATACATTGCAGCCGCTGGGGGCGTAGAACATGTCCAACTGCAGACGAAGACGAATTCCGAAGACGCATTCACGAAGACCCGAAGCGAAGACGACTTGCCCCCCGAAGACAACAGGTGCCGAAACCAGAGAAATCATAGGACCGTACTTCATCTATAAATACAGCACCAACCTAGAATAGATTTTGAAACTGGCTCATATCTTTGTAGCAACTGCATGAACCCTACTCTTGTCCCTAAAAAGCATGTCGTGACTAGGCTTCGCGGACTTGACAATGGGTGAGCAGCTCCAGCATATCATCTTACAAACCACGGCAGCGGAGGAGGTGATCAGTGTGGCTTCGTTGCGTGATGCTCTTCGCAACAGGAAGCCACTGGCTGCCAGCCACCAAAAAAATCGTTGTGTGTCAAACACTGTTGGGGGCGGAGATGTCCCGCCCTTGGCCCAAGTAGCGAACCGGAGCTCCCCTGGGGACTCCCATCTGACCACAGCAAAATTTGATACCGCTGGATACGTGTAAAGTGCAAAGTACTGAATCATCCCTTTCGTAGCATGCCGCGTACAGCAGCCCAAATTCGTCGCACCAATTTTTTCGTGCTGCGCCTCTTCCCGAAGGGGAAACACTCGTGCTAGGACTCTTTGAAGACATTGAACCAAAAACTCCGGCAGACAGATTGCCAGAGTTTGCTTGCACGCAGGTCCTGCAGAAGTACCGGAACAAGATGCGGAAACGAATCCAATTGCTTGCTTAAGCTGTATTCATTCATGACCAAACGTCCTTCGGACCATGCGCATCAAGCTAGAGTGGTTCCGCACAGACATCCTCAGAAAGTCCTTGCGCATTGCACGGCTGAATCAGTTTGACAGGGCAGCAGCTAAGGAGTACCATCCAAGTCGATGAGTTGCTGGCCGCATCGCACCGGTGGAGAAGGCAGATGCAACTCCACCATGGACTCTACATCTTTCTCGATGACATCAAGAAGCAAATGCCTATGCCTCGCGAAAACACGGTTGCAGAACTGGTCGCTCGAAGCACCGGTGCCCGAGAAGGAGGCGAGACATGCGCCGGGTGACGCGCGAGAAAACAAAAACAATCCCGCAACCAAATACATATGAGTCAGACTCAAAATTATCGTCCTATAATTTCACGCATTGGGACACCCCGATAGCCCAATAAATACCATATACTATTATATTTGCATTACGCAACAGGTGCCGAAACCAGACAAATCATAGGACCGTACTTCATCTATAAATACAGCACCAACCTAGAATAGATTTTGAAACTGGCGCATATCTTTTGTAGCAACTGCATGAACCCTACTCTTGTCCCTAAAAAGCATGTCGTGACTAGGCTTCGCGGACTTGACAATGGGTGAGCAGCTCCAAAATATCATCTTACAAACCACGGCAGCGGAGGAGGTGATCAGTGTGGCTTCGTTGCGTGATGCTCTTCGCAACAGGAAGCCACTGACGGCCATGAAAAAGCCCGCAGAGCACCTGCAACAAGCCATGACGGAACTCAACGAAAAGGGGTTGATTTGCAAAGCCGACAAAAACGGCTCCGCCAAATACAAAGTGACAAGAGGACCAATGAAGGGGCGGTGGCAGAAAAAAGCTCTGTGAACTCATGATGACAAAGCAGCACAGCACAGGCATCACTTGGTCGTGAAATCTGAAAGCTTTCCAAACTGAAGCTCGTGTTGGGCTGTGTGGGGGTCAAAAGAGAGTGCGGTCAGCGCGATTGGCCTATAGGGGTTATTTGAGTGGCACTGTCGTTCGTTTCCAGATGCTTTCCGTGCCCAGCCAAAGAACAGGCCCAGCTACTGTGGGCCCTCTCGGACCACGCTGCGCCACGCTACCGCAGGGACATCGTAGGGCAGCACAGAGTGAACGGGCGAAAGCCACATTGAGTGACAGTCACCGCGATTGATCCTGGTGCGTCCCCCACGTCGTTCGATGGAGACGAGAACGGTTCAAAAACATACAAGAGTTCCATGTCACGTGGTCCCGATTTATCACCACTTGGCAGCCTGGAAGGCACCAGGGAGGCACCAGGGAGGCAGAAAAGGATCAATTGGACAGCCTGCGAGGCACCAGCAGGTGTTCAACCAGGTAGTCTTCGAGCATTTCCCAATTGTGATGGATGCTGAGTGGAACCGTCACTTTCGGGCAGTTGTGTCCCCTGTTGGTTTCACACTCCAGGAACGCGTCACTCGGATAGTTATGTTGCAGGCCTGGCTTTGAAACCTAGCTGCCTCATGAGAAAGATGCAGTTGCAAGGGAGAGAACGCAGATGAACCATGCTTCAACCAAAATGGAATTTGGAGTCTGTTTCGGCACCCAAGTGCGCAAGCAGATCCGATCGCTGCTGATTGTGATCTTATTGTCTTATTGTGTTAGCCTGAGAAATCAACGCCGACTCTTGAAAGGCAATGACAAGCTTTCTTTCACCCAAGCAGGCACATCGGCCAACATGTGGGTTTGATCTCCTCCATGAACCTGTGATGAAAAGTTGTTCACCCCGGAGAACTATGGGGGGTTGATGGGTTTTGATACACAGCCATGCAGGCCTATGCCGTTGTCTTGCTACTGGAGTCCATTAGATACCATGCCTATCGGGCTGTAAACACTCTTCAAACGGCCCCCCGGCCCAGGGGCCATTTTAGTGGACCAAACCCATCAAAAAGCCAGAGCTGAATATGACTTCTGGGGCATGTGGCGTCAGAGTGCGGCGTCAGGGGGGGAATGTGGCGTCACGGAATGTGTCGTCAGAATGCGGCGTCACCGCGGAATGTGGCAGTCAGGGGGGAATGTGGTGTCACGGAATGTGTCGTCCGAATGCGGCGTCACCGGGGAATGTGGCGTCAGGGGGGAATGCGGCATCAGAGAATGTGTCGTCACAATGCGGCGTCGCCGGCGAAGTGGCGTCAGGGGGGAGCGCGGCGTCAGGGCATGCAGCGTCAGAATGCGGGCGAGTGTGGCGTCGCAATGTGTCGTCAGCGTCAGGGCCAAAAGTGCTACACCATGTGCGGCCACCCTGAATACATTGCAGCCGCTGTCACATACTATACACATTTTAGACAGAGAGGCTTCAATACGCTTTGCGAATATGTATGTCGTGGTTGTTTTGCGGTGTTGGTGGGGAAAGACATTGAAGCACAGCACTGTACAGCACTGCTTACATCTGGCGCTGACAAGATGTCGCGCGAGTCATTCGAAGCAAGCAAGAGCGGTTGAGGATTTCAAGAACTGTCAGTTCTTGGCAAGTTGAAGCCGTATATTCAAATCCGATAAATGTCCCTTCCAACCGTATCCAAAAACATGCCAAAGCTGAAGTGGAACGCAACCATTAAAGTGATGTTCCAGCTTCTCACGTGCAGAATGTGTCTAGATCTCCTGTCCTGTTCTCTGGCGCTCTCCTCTCTCTTCTCAGCACGTTCTCCTCTCCCTTCCAGACGTTTCCAACTAGTGTAACTGATTGCCTTGCTGAAAGCCTTTGGTTGTATGCAAGGCGGTGCCTGGCTCAGTAAACCGCTAAGGCTTTACCTTGCTAAAATCCGATTGCCTCGCTGGTTTTAAACGAAGCGTTGCCTGTCCATTAAAGGCTAGCACTTTCGAAAATATAGTAGCCAAACTCAATTTTCCAAATTGAATTTCTTCACTAAAGGCTGGCCCTTGCCAAATTTAGCTGCCAAAATCAATTGTCCAAATTGATTTTCCTCATTAAAGCCTAGCCCTAGCCAAGACAATGATGTGATGTGACTGTAACATAGATGGGTTTCAAACGAACCAAATTCAGATGAAAAACAAAGACCGAAATGCATCCTTGGGACAGCTAAAAGAAACAATCATGCCCCCTCCAGAACCCCTCAGAAATCCTACAAAATGCGATGGGGATCACCGTAACAACTTCTTATCAGTTCATGTTTGCGATTCATCACCGCCGCAGTGGAAACCTCCAAGCCACATGGGTCTCCGTCCTCCTGCTTGCCGAGCAAGCCCCGCGGGCACACGAGGAGACAAGGCAGCAGCGGCACAGCAGCCGCAGCAAACCAAAACGGAATACGGGCATTCAATCATTGAGAAGTATGACACCCTATAGAATCACAACAAAAAACACCATCTGGGGAACAATTCAACATTAAAACAAAACCCAATTGCGAAGGATTTGTGTGTGGGAGAGGGGCAAGGTTTTTTGCTCGAAAAAAAACTTTTGTGGTGCCACCGCGCGTTCCAACGCTGAGGCAAGTGTTCCTGGCTGCCAGATGCACATTTGTGGAGCAAGGCACACACGACGTGCGCGACGCGGAAACGCAGTGGAGTCGGGTTCAGTTGAATGGTGAAGTGTCCTGGCCAGGAAATTCAAGGACCATCTAAGATCAGACAGTTGTGGTGTTTCTTATATAGATGGCCATATGGTACCCTTGGTATGTCCCAGACCTGGTAAATCCTTCCACTTGAAATTTGGTTGATTGAAGCCCCCAAGAAATAGATGAAGGACTTACAACAAATATTGCCGCATCCTGGGGGGTGAATTTCGAAAGATTTTTGTTGGCCTTCTTGTATCAAGAATCGATCAGAACGACACTCCCTGGAATCATCACGGAAGTCCAGTTCACCACCTACTTGGAGGAAGACGCCATGGTCATCCAAGGCGCCATGTTCGCTGAGCATAAGCCCATGCAATCATGGGTCAATTTGAATTATGTAGAGAATGCTGGTGGGTACTGGGGTACGCGGTGGGCCACTATCTCCTGGTATTGCCAACATCGTCACTGCGTGATGCCACGAAAACCCACATGTTTCCCTAGGGATCCGTCGACTCGTACCGAATCTCAGGTTCGGTACGACTGGACCCGACGTGACGTTTTGGCACCTTCATGACAGTGACCTCCTTGGCTCACCGAACCTGAGGTTCGGTACGAAAACGGATCCCTAGGGTTTGATGATGCAATGGTTTCGGATGCTTTTGGAATGTGGTGCCAGCTGTGTCACTCATGTCACTCAGGTTGTCCTACCTGGAACCTCACAGAAAACAAACAAAAAAACAGTGATGTTCTTCATGTTGAACCGCCAGAGACCCATCACTAACCACAATGGTTTCCATGAATCCGACAGCAACTCCAAAAAGCCTTGAGACAAACCTCCCAAACCCTCCTGCAGGCCGTGTTCTGTGCCGGCGTGTTCTGCCCTAGTTCCGCTGGTGTCCCGGCGGCGCCAGGTTCCCAAGGCCCAGCGGCCGCAGGAGTTGCGCGCCTGCCATGGAGCGTTGAGGACCTTCGAGGAGTCCCCTGACCGTTGTGAGGGGCGGATCCCTCACGTGGCACGCGCGTTTGGGGCAAGCGCGTTGTAAAGGGAGCTGTGGGGCACTGAACCTGAGGGGGCTCCAATTCTCGCATGGAACTCGACGCTGGGCTTCACTGGTGGGACCGGTGGCGTCACCCCGTGTCCCAGTCGATGGGTTCAGGGCAACCACCGAAAAGGCATGAACCTAGCGGGTCTGTCGAACTGACCTGTAACAGGACCCGTAAACAATGAACATGATTTTTGACCAAGCCTGCAACCAGGCCCTATCATCCTACACTGGGCCCAGGTAATTAATAGGATAGACCCAACACCCAGAAGCTCCATGGGACTGCCATAGGACTGCCGAGAAACGGCCAGGGGTGGTGCCAGGGGGATCTGTCTGGGGCGGCAGTCCTATTTCAGTCCCATGTGTCGTGTATGGGACATGAACCACATGTTGTTCTGCACTGGGTGGCTTCTCCAGGTCGGGTCCTTGCTCTCTGCATGGGCCGACGAAGTCTTCGCGCCTCCGCCCCAAACCGTTCGAAACGGTTTGAGGATGGTAGGTGGACTGAAGTCCGGCCATGCGAGTGGAGAACCTTTAAAGCTCATTGGTTGGGAGTGGTTTTCTCAATGATTCTCAAACATGTATCAAGAACGTTAGAAAAAGGGTGTTATAATAAGGCTTTAAGGCTATGAACCTTAGCCCTGCAGGCCCTGCAGGATTTTGTTGGCCCAGCGAGTTTTACTGGCTTTGATGCTTCTGACGGTTCGGATTGGTCCACCAGGTCTGAAGCGGATGCCTCCGTTCCACTGGGCCAATCAGGTCGGTCCAGGTTGGTCTTGACAACAGTTTCTTCCAGCGACGAGGAGAGGAGGGAGGTGGCAGTCAGGAACTCTATAGTTCACCATTCGATGTGACACGTGTTTTTTTTCTGGTTGCTTTGAGTTTCTATATATAGGCATGTATAATATATGAAACTATAATAGGGAGATGGTATGCCACTTCGACCTCCTGGAAGAATGGAAATAGATCCCGTTTGCAGAAGTACACACCCTATTGAAGTACACACCCATTTTTTGGCGAAAGACAAACCGACCCAGCTTCCGAGCGGAAACGTCCTTCCAATTTGGGCAAGTGAGATCCTTTTCGCCATGCGTTTTCTGCTTGGAACTGGGCGAAAACCATCATAGAGTGAAAATGACCAAGTGATGGTTAGCCACTCAAAGACCAAGTTGGGCCACGCTCGGATAAACTATAAGCAACATCGACCAACGCCGTTCATTCATGTCTCCTTGGACTCTTTGGCGCCCAAGTCGAACTCCCACACCAGCCAAAAAGGGGCGCACCTTCATGCGACTGGTCTGCGACAGATCGGACACGCACGCCCCACACGCGCGCGCACGCGCAAGAACGACGCACGGGGGAAGCTCCGTACCGCACCTGGGACGACGCACGCGGCACGAAGGTTCATGCGGGATTTCAAGTACGACGATCACTACAGCTGCCGCTCCGAGGCGCCCCGAGAACCCGGGGGGCATCGTGGCGGTGGGTTGGCGGAGCCAACGGGTTGGAGTCTGCCTGCCGGACGAAGCAATGGGTGTGGTTCTCCGAGACTTGGATGCAGAACAAGAAGGTTTTACCACATTACAATGGTTTCAGAGTAGATGGCACAGACCCCAAGATGTCTTAGTATATAGGGGTCCATATAAACCACCGACATTGGGGTTTGTGCCATCTACTCTCAGGTCACTATAACAACCACGTTTTACTATAAGAAGATGTGGACTATTCCAGGGCCTTCAAGGGGTGGTGAATGGACACCCCGAATCACGGCTTTTTGGGGCTATAAATAGACACCCCGGAGGGTCCTGGTTCAGGGCTTTTACTAAGAAGCGTAATATCCTTGATTAGAAAACGTTGTTCGGGATTCAGCCTAATTAAAGTTATGGTGGTCCAGGAATCCTAGGGTCTAGGTTTTGGTATGGTGAACACTTGGTGAAACGAGCACTGACTGGCAATCCACTCCATGTTTCGTCCTGGGCACTGCAGTGAAGATGTGACTGCCCCGTGCCCTGCCTCGTTTCTGCCGGATCGTCGTTTCTAAGCCTTTGACCGATGTTTCTTTTGTGAAGTTACATCGATGTAGGTACCCCAAAAGCGTGGCTGAAGACTTTTAAAATCTTTTAATAGCACGAAATGGTGAGCCACCATAGAGCTGAGTTTCTTTTAAATTTTTGGTTTCATGTCTTGAAAAAAGCGATCTCTAATCGGAGTCATATACACAAGTTGGATGATGAGTATTTGTTTCAGCCGTTTACCGAAGAACCAGCTGTTTTACTAAGGATTTTGCACTACAGGTCATCAGGTCAACCCTTTCAAGAATCGTCGACTGGACTTCCAGTGCTTCGCTACTCCCGAGTGCTGCTTCGTTCAACGAGCGCCCCAAAACGCATTTTTCTGCTGCTGCCAGATCGAACGAGCCATCGAAGAACTCATCGAGAGGAGCGAAGCAGCTGAATCGAGTGGGCCGCAGATGTTTGGTTCAATGTGTGTCTTTAAAACGAACCTTTGGGTCTGTGCGAACTGACCTGTAACAGTCGGTAAACAAGCAAATCACTACTTTAGAGAAAGGCCAACCAGGCCCTATCATCCACTGGGCCTTGGTAATGGGATAGACCCAAGTTGAACCCTTCGTCTAGAATCTTCTCAGCAGGAGCAACTCAGATGTTCTTTGCCCTCATTTCTTTGAGAGTACCTGGACCCCCAGGAGTTGGGTGGTAGACATGGACACCCCGAATCACAGCAAGCTGGGCAATAGACACCCCCACGGTGTCGACTTCAGTCGACCGATCGCTGGTGAGTCTGCCAGCCGCGACCGGACCCCCAAGAGCCGTTGTCTCTGTTTGGTCACCTGCCAGGCCCTGTAGGATGTGACCCGTTTCTGGTGCCCTGTCACGAATCAGAAGGAGATGTGACCCTGTAGGATGCCGGTTTACCAGGCAGGTCAACACGTAGATGTGCGAGGTGGGTTTCGCAGATGATGTTTCATGTTTGCCAAAGCTTCTTTTTGGATACCATGGCAGATATTCACATGTGGCCTTTCCGTGGACGTAAGTAAAGCATCCCACCAGAAAAACACAGAGGACGCCATTCCTTGTTCAAAACCTCTGGAGATTCTTTTTCAACCTGGCCTCTTCAAAACGCCTGCCACTTCACACTTTCACCAACAGGTCGACCTTCAATCTGTTTCACCTGAAGTCTTGAAGTCCCCAAATGGCCCCCCCCCGAGCTCGTCAGACGGTGCCTTGAAGTCTCCGTCGCGGATGCGGGGGGGGCAGGGCACCCGCCAGGAGAGCTTCCCTACCCGAGGAGATCACGCACGAGTGTGCCTGGGACGAGGTCGTTGTCCTGGACACGAGGTAGATCCCCAAGGAGTTCAGAGTTCAGACCATCCGAACTGATAGGCAGCACCGAACTGCTAAGGGGGTGATAAGGTCATGGGGGGTGTGGCGACCACCGGTGATCAGAGTGCGCCCCGTTCCCGAAGCAACTGCTATACATGTTGCAAAGATGGCCTTGGACTTATTGATGATTCATAGAGGGGATACCCCCCAGTCGTGTACCACCAGTAGGTACCCTACAGACTTCATGTGAGCACATGTCAGCACAACACCAGTTCAAGTTCAAGGAATGTAGAAACATGATGAATCCTTGGACATCCTTGGAAATTTGAATGTAGTTCGTTGGGTTCATCCTTCAAATCGTTGGTCCAAGGAATGTAGTTCAAGGAATGTCCGGTTCAAATCCTTGGAAATCCTTAGACCTCTAGACCTCAGTCCGACTCCTTCGACCTGGCTTCCTCCTCAAAAGTCGGACATCCACCGGAACGCGGTGGTTTCGAAGCTTTTCAGCGGCCGGGAGAAGGGTCTCGGAGTTGGTGTTCCCAGGGCATCCAGGCAGTTCCCACGATGTCGCTGGGAGTCCTCAGTGGTTCCGACTAAACCCATAAGTAATATAGAATCCCCTGGTACCTTATATAAAAGTGCTTTGCCTGGGATCCACTTAGTTTTGTTTGGACAGAACAAAAGCCAAAATGCTGTAACGTTTTTGGAGGAGTTGGCCGATGTTGGGGGACGGAGAATGGACGACACATCGGCGGCCTGGCGGCGCTGGCCGCGCGGTCCGTTCACGTGGCCGCCCAGGCCACCCACATCGATTGAAGAGCTTCAGCGTTGATCGTCCGGGCAGCCCAGGCTAAGGCGTTGATCTGTCCAGGAAATGAGCCACCCCCCAAATCCGAGCGTTAAGTGATTTCAAACGGTCCATTTCATGGGCTCCAAGGATGTAGTGGTGGGCATGTTTTGGTACGTAGCATGGATGTATAGACTAACCTCCAGTGCCCCCCAATGGGGAAGGACTGTTGAGGCGCGTTTGGATTTGCGCAAGTTGTGTGTGGGGAATCGAAGAGGTGTTTTTGTTTGGGTGGGAGACCTCCCAGTGGTGAGAGACCTCCAAACAGCCGTGGCAGCGCACACTTGCTGGCTGCTGATCATGGAGTTCATGCTTGGAACTCCACACCTGCTTGGTATGACCTGCTTCAGCCAGTCCAAGTCGAGTGCGTTCACCATCCACCAATCGATCACGTCCCGCCGACCGGAGTCCTTCGATCCATCACAGTCGGCTCTTCATCGCGACCGGTGAGGACGTGGCCCCCGGTCGCTGAAGAGCCCATCTCGGCTCGACCTCTGAGGGATCCGTCGACCCGGTTCGGTACGACTGGACCCGACTGGCTGGTACAGAACAGAATCTCCTTGCTCACCGTACCTGAGGTTCGGTACAACTGGATCCCTAGGGCATGACACTTTGACAAAGTGGAAGTGGAAAACTCCCTTGTGTGCAGAGGACACTGCTAGACTAGCTGTCTAGCTGTTTGGTCTCCATATTCCACTTCGTGAGTGAGTGAGACTATAAAACCTCAGAGTAGATGGCACAGACCTCAAGAGGCGTGCGCCATGCTTGGGTCAGACCGGCGTGCCAATTGGTCGCCCCGGTCCAGCCGGTGCTTTTTGGGGGGAGCCAGGTCCAGTCTCCCTAAGCAAGAGAGGTAGCCAGTGACCTTATATAACCCGTCACCTGGGGTACCCAACTGGGATAGTCGGGATAGTCTATAGGGTTCTTCATGGTTCTGACCCACCTCTGTTGGAAAGTTGGACCTGGATCTGACCTGTCGCCACATGCCTTGACTTCTCCCTCCCGGTCCTGAGAACTTCTTTTTGGTGGTCCTCAGAACCATTTCCGTCGTGTTTGTGATACCTGGATCTGACCTGCCGACTGCCACATGTTTGCCTAACTTGGCTTCTACTGGTTTGAAGAGGCAGAAATGGGTCGCAGGATCTCGCAAGATCCAGGTATGACCCACTCCCGTGCAATGAGGTCAAACCCTGGACGGTGTCGCAGTTACTCGTACCTGTGTTTAGCGGGTTTCGTTCAGGATGGATGGGCTACATGTGTGCTCTTTGCGGCAACCATGGCTTCTTCGACCATTTGGAGGAATCGACCATGGGGCGACCCAATGGACCGATTGGGGTGAAGGGGGGACTGGTGAGGAACCGGTAGCGACCGGTCCGATTACCATCCAAAGGGCGTTTCGGGGAACATGGGCGAAGCAATAATATCTCGGATGACCATGGGACCATGCGAATGCCAAGCAGCTGGTACAACCATCATTGTTCCATGTGTTTTTTTCCAGTTCCATGATCTTTTCAGGGAGTGTACATGTTTATCATCAACAAACAGATGCAAAGTGGGGATAAGATGATCCAACTACATACTATGATGTCATACAATACTATATATCTCCACATGATTTGCATGCTTGTTCCGCAAAGCTGTCTAACCCCTTTTCATGGGGAATGAAGATGGGAAGATGAGCATGAAAACCAGGAATTGATGGAGTTGGCAAACCTGTTGACCCTAGGGATCCATTTTCGTACCGAACCTCAGGTACGGTGAGCCAAGGAGGCACTGTTCTGTAGGTGCCAAAACGTCACGTCGGGTCCAGTCGTACCGAACCGGGTCGGTTAAGGTACGAGTCGGCGGATCCCTCCCGGGGAGGTTGGACACCAAGTCCTGCTGGGTGTTTTTGGACACCAAAACCTCCGAACTTCCACCAGAGTCGGATGCAGGGAGACTCGGCTCGGCTCGACCCACCCGTTGGGACGGACGAAGGCTGGACTCGGCCCCCCTGAGAACAAAAAGATAACAAAAAGAGAACCACCCCAAAACTAGCTTATTTCACCCCAATTTCGGCTCTCTCCATTTCTCATTGAGTAGGTCTTCCTTTGAAGTTTGTCGTCTATCTAAGAGCCTTGAAAGGATTACCATCGGAATGGAACTGCCGGCAGTGAAACTCTGCAAGCTGATTTGGGTGTGCATCAAAGACCAGTCTACCCAGCCAGGGCCAGGGGATCCTTATTTAAGTACAAACAGGAGCAAGGACGCTAAAAGGGACTCCTGGCCTTACGGAGCAAGAAACTACTAGGAACAAAGGGAATCGCTAGACTAGTAACTAGCAAGAACGCTACTAGTAACCGAGCGTTTTCATTTCTGCCCCAAAAGACTGCTGATCACTCAGCCGCTGGCCCGTTCAGACCAGGAACTCGCTATGGACCGCCCCACAGAAGTCTCGACCAGGGATGCCTTAGTGTTTCTTTTGAATCATGGAGATGGAGGCTTTCTTCTTGTTGCCAGGTATAAACCCCGAATCAGGCAGAAACCACTGAACCCCCTGTCAGAATCATGGCCAGGGGCCACACTGGTCAGTGGTCAGGAGGTCATTGAAGAAGGTCCCAAATCATCCCACAGGTGTTGGTTGTCGCCATCTTCAAATCCAAGGATGAAGAGGAAACCACTTGTTTGTAGATGAAAATGGTCATCCAAAGGCCATATTCCACTTCCATTATTGTTTGAGGGAGTGCAGGGCCATTGGACTGTGTTGCTACACAGTGACACTCCTTCTTAGCACAGTGACACTCCAGTCTGGGGTATTTTCGCTTGAAACACCACAGGACTGGGGCTATGGTCACAATGAGTTCAAGGCGGGCGACGTGGAAAACCTCGGCAAAGGGTTGGCTTGCGATGATCATGTTATATGCTTTCACCAGGTGAAGGTGGTGGAATGACGTGGGTCGAATGCTGGGTTTGGTTCATACCCTCAGGTTCGGTACGACTGGACCTCCGGGCACCTACATAACAGTTCCTCCAATCACCGTACCTGAGAAGGTACGAAAACGGATCCCTAGGGATAGTTACGTCGCTGAGTTGAAACTTGGAAGACATCCGACGAACATCCGACGAATTCTGACGAACGTCAAGCTGGACATCTGAACAGACCACGGTCGGTCTGCTGGAACACAAAGAGACGTTTGGTGGGAACCATCCACACCAGTAGGCACATGCTCCTTCTAAGTGAACCACGTGGACGTGAACTGCAGGTCATACGCGGCCTCAAACCAAGCACAGCTGGTGTGAGAAGAATGGAGAAAGGGAACAGAAGCTAAGCTGGTGTCGGGTTTCCGAAACTCATCTAGAGAGATCTGAAGTCACAGACCATCGACAAGTGTGAGAAATCACAATAATTAGATTGTCTTTTGGGGGGGTTGTCCTATTAACAGTCAATAAACAAGCAAATCACTATTTTAGAGATGGAAAGGCCTGCTGCCAGGCCCCATCATCATCGACCGTTACTCGTCATAGGATAGACTGATAGACCCAAGGTCTCTTGAAAATTTGAACAAGGGTCATCGTAGGCCCATCAGCGCCACCTTCCATGTGGTCTCTTTCTGTTTTGACTCTTGGCGGCCGTGCTAAGTCTTGGCGGGTGAGTTTCGGGTGGTGGTTTCTGGTTTAGAAGTTCATTGTAACCTATCCCCTCAGAGTTCAGTCGACTATTCAAAGAATGGTCCGACTAGGTGACCCAAAGAGGAACTTCCTTTGCTTCAGTGGGGCGTTTTTGTATTTTTTTGGGCGTCTAGCCGTGTGTCACAAGCAAAGCTTTCGACATCCGCAAATAGAACAAAGAATGGACTTCTAGCCTCAGGGTATCCAAGAAGAACCGTATCCAGACTGCATATCGCTACATCTTCTCCACCCGTCACCCTCGTCAGGCGGCTTTTTTGCTCGCTGTAGATGTCCGCGCCTGTGTCTCCCACCCCGTCCCCGTGCCTCCGCGCACCGCGGTGTTCCCCAACGTCCATCGTCCAACGGGCGTGAGGTTCACCCCTACTGCGTCTTGGCGGAGGAGAAGGAGACACGTCAGCAGCTCGTCGATCGGTGGACGGCACAAGGCGCAGCCAGCGGAACGGTTGAAAGCGGCGCCAACGGGTTAGCGCGCAGCTTGCGGTGTGGATGAAGGCCTAAGGCTGCTCTGAAGCAGCGTGTCTTGCGACATGTTGGGCCAGGGCGGGAAGGTGCAACGTTCTTGAAGTGTATGAACTTTACTCTATCCGCAAGTTATAGATGAAATTACTTTGCTTCGAGTGATCCCCACCATGACATCTCAATCATGTGTTTACAAGCCATGCTGAGGAGCATGTCGCCACGGTCGTGAGTTTTGTGGTTCTCAATTTTGCTTGGGTCCTCCGGTTGTGCGTTGTGGTTGTGTGCTGTGGTTGTGTGCTGTGATTGTGTGTTGTGGTTGTGTCTTGTGGTTGTGTCTTGTGGTTGTGTGCTGTGGTTGCGTCTTGTGGCTGTGTTTGTGGTTGTGTTTGTGATTGTGTTTGTGGTGGTGTGTTTGTGAATGTGTTTGTGGTGGTGTGTTTGTGATTGTGTTTGTGGTGGTGTGTCTGTGATTGTGTTTGTGGTTGTGTTTGTTGTTGTGTGTTTGCGATTGCGTGTTTGTGATCGTGGCTGTGGTGTTTGTGATTGCGTGCTTGTGATTGTGTGTGGTTGTGATCGTGGCTGTGGTTGTGGTTGTGGTTGTGTGTTTGTGATTGTGTTTGTGGTTGGGTGTTTGTGATTGTGTTTGTGCTTGTGGTTGTGTGTTTGTGATTGTGTTTGCGGCTGCGTGTTTGTGATTGTGTTTGTGGTTCTGTTTGTTGTTGTGTGTTTGCGAGTGCGTGTTTGTGATCGTGGCTGTGGTTAGTTTGTGGTTGCGTGCTTGTGATTGTGTTTGTGCTTGTGGTTGTGCGTTTGTGATTGTGTTTGTGGTTGCGTGTTTGTGATTGTGTTTGTGGTTGTGTGTTTGTGGTTGCGTGTTTGTGGTTGTGTTTGTAGTGTGTTTGTGATTGTGTTTGTGGTTGAGTGTTTGTGATTGTGTTGGTTGTGTTTCTGGTGGTGTGATTGTGTTTGTGATTGTGGTTGTGGTTGTGTGCTGTGGTTGAGGTCCGGCAGGGAACACTGGGCGGGGATGGTTGCGGTTGAGGTCCGGCAGGGAACACTTGGGCCTGGAGCTCGCGGTTGCGGGGATGGTCGCGGTTGAGGCCCGGCAAGGAACACTTGGGCCTGGAGCTCGCGGTTGAGGTCCGGCAGGGAACACTGGGCGCGGATGGTCGTGGGGAACATGAGAAGCAGATGGTGGCAGTCGAGGAGGCACAGGACGAGGACGAGGAGGAGGCGCAGGAGGAGGTTGCGGAGAAGGAGGACGAGGAGGAGGAGATGGGGCTGACGTAAAATCTAACAACCCTCACCTGAGAGGTGGGGAAAAAGTGTCTTTTCCAGCTTGCAAGAGATGAGTTTGTTTGTTGGGCTAGTTTCTCAGTGCTGTTGAACCTCTAAGAGGTCCTCCGGATCTTTTCGAAGCAACAGCCAATTTCCCTTCCAAGACCATGAATGAAAAGAATTGCTGATTTGGTTGTCTATCTATCGAATCCAAGCGGAACCGCTGCCACTCTTTGTTTGTCTTTTGTTCCCCAAACAGTGTGGAAACACTTAGGGGTTCTTACGGTAGGTGTAAAGCAGCTGTGCTTAGATCGCTGGGGCGTGCGGGAGTGAACGGCTGATTCGTTGCTAGTTACAGCACATTCATATACCTCTCGAAATCGTCCACATGCATTTCGACTGCGCAGGCTCGCGAAATCTGCTTGCCGGTGGCGGGTGCTGCTAGCGACAGCGCTCTCGTTGTGGCGCCGTGCGCATTTTCGCACATGGTGGTCACTTTTGGTGGCAGGTGCAAGGGAAACCTCGCGTTTTCGTGGTCCAAAGTCGACTTTTCGTGTCAGGTGCAAGGGATCGGAGCTGTTTTACTTCGAAATGCAGTTTTCGTGGCAGGTACACTACTTTGGACATGGTGGTGATCTTCGACGAGCTCTGATTTCGAGACGGGCGCAGTGAGTTGTAGCTTTTCGACATGTGGCTCATTTACAGATTTCTTGGCAGGTGCAGCACTTTGTGAACCTCGACGTGCAGATGTCGCTCGATGTGCAGATTTCGTGGCAGGTACAGCACTTTTGTGAACCTCGATGCGCAGATTTCGTGGCAGGCGCAGCAGGGATCCAAGTACCTTCTCAGAAGGTACTTGGACCTTCCAAACCTACATAACAGTGTCTCCAATCGTGAACACTCACACCCACTCCCACTCTCTCACTCACACTCACACTCACACACACACTTGAGATATTGTGTACTGAACTGAATGCGGTGCCACACGCCGGCCTAGGGTTCCAATTCCTAAGGGTACAGGTAAGGAAACCTAAAAGGAAGAGGAGGTCCATCCAGCGGAGGTCCCAAAGGTTTCAGGTGGCCAGCAACTCCAAAAGATACCGATCGAGCGGACGACAAGGTGACGACGTCCCACACACACACTCACTGTCCCACTCTCACTCTCACTATCTCTCATTCGCACACACACTCAAATTCACACTCACACTCACCCACTCACTCTCACACAGGACTGAGGTTCTTGGAAGAGGAGGGACTGGAGTGTGCTGTCTCAAAGGAAGACACTGATATTGCACACATGTGCAAACACCTATTATAAACTATGTGGTGGAGCATGAACCTGTCTGTGGACTCTGCGGACTTCTACTGCCCAAGCTCAGCTGTGCCCACTCACTGTCAACTGTGCATACCTGACCTGCTGACCTGTCACGTGTGCATCATGGCTGCGTTTGACCGTGTTGGGTGCTATGATGGCAGAGTGACGGAGCAGATGCTCGAAATGGTCGCCGGTGTGGAGGACGCCGGGGAGCCCGAGGATGGAGAGCAAGGCCCCAACATCGGACGCAGCAAGCTTGGCAGGATCAAGAGGGGCTTCCTGCGCAAGGTATTGTCACCGGTCGTGGGCTATACAGCTTGGACTATCAGCTCCTCCACTACGTGTACGACCTCAGCCTCTGGACGACTGTGGGGACGAAGAAGAACATTGCCAGGCAGCACGATATCCCTTTCAGGCTGGTGCTAAGCAAGTGCCCCTGAACGCCGCAGTATTGAATTGGCGCATCCGGCATCAGGCCGTGGTCGACATGCAGCGCCAGTGCGGGAACGCGGCCTTGTTCCGCACGCGGGCGCCGTACGAGCGGTCGTTCCCCTACCACGAGTGGGTCGTGCACGTTTCAGATGGATGGATGATGGCCATACACGCGCGAGCAATTCGCACAGTATTTCCGCCCGCAGTGCAAGGGCAAGGCGAGAACCAAGCAGTATGCATTTGGCAGGTTGAAGGGAACTACTGGGGTGGATGGTCATGTGCGTTCGGAGACGCCGCTGTCCGCTTGTTAGATGGACGCAGATGTCTGGAACTCTCTAGTGCTGTCGGAAGTGTGTCGCGTACACCACGCTTTTGAGAGCACCTCAACCTGAGGTGGATTGCTTGTGAATTTTTCGTTTGACGCTCTTTGGATTTTGAGATTGCTAGGTATAACTCATGGACTATATGTAAGCCGTAGACCCTGCACCAGGCCCACGCTCTCGTGGACCGACCGTGTCTGGAAGGATCACCTCCTGGCTGCCAGGCCGACGGCCGCTGGTAGCCCCGGGCCTCCAACAATCCCAAGGCCTCGTGTAAGGCCAGTCAAAACCCCCAAGGCCAGCCAAGGCCTCCACGTAACTCCCTTCGAGCATAAGGCCATATGTGGACCCTACCTACTAGGTGCACTCTCTGAATCAACTTTCCTTACGTGGACCCTCCGTGTGGACCCTCCTTATGTGGACCCCCCTACATGGAGCCCCCTCACGTGGACTTTCTTACGGACCCTCCACACTGCTTATGGGAACCCTTTCCTTCGGACCCACCTACGTGGACCCTACGCACCCCTCTTGCGTGGACCTAGTTGGCTAGACCCCCCATACGTGGACCCCACTGTACATGGACCCTCCAACGCGTGGACCTTCCATACGTGGAGCCCCTTATGTGGACTCTTACGTGGACCCTATAAGGTCAAGCTCCCATCTAAGGTCAAGTAAGGCCCTCCCGCCAAAGGCCTCCACATAAGGCCAGCCCCTCCTTACATGGACCTCCTCCCCCACGCGTGGACCCTACCTAGCTAGACTCGCTAAATCAACTTTCCTGACTGTCTGTCCGTGCATGGACCCTCCGTGCGTGGACCTTTCTTATGTGGACCCCTCCTACGTGGAGCCCCTTACGTGGACTCTCTTACGTGGGCCTTCCACCATACGTGGACCCACCTTACGTGGACCCACTTCGCATCCACCCTCATAAGGATAATCAGCGGGGGAAGAAGTCCCTGTTGAGCTTGATTCTATATATTTTCCGATTTTGTGAAATATTCTAGGAAGTGCATTCCGTATGTATTTTCTGCATGTTTAAATGGCTGGGCGGCCCCGGCAGATCTTTCACAGAGGTACACTAAAATACCTGTTCGGCCATTTTAAAATCCGTATATTTTATTGTAGTCAGCGTACAAAGTGACCTCATTTTTTTGGATACACTCTGCTTTCCCCAGCAGAACATGCCGACCAAACTCCCTCCGCTTCTCACCCCTTGTCATGCGCGAGGCAGAGAGGCCTACGAAAGCGATGCTTGGCCGACTCTGACCTGTTCGTTCGACTCTGGCGGTTTGATGGCGATGGCTCAGCCCACAGCCCTCTGACTGTTGTAGTATAAAGTCCTTTAGTGCAAAGGTCATTCCATGGGCACAAGGTGTCCATGAACTGATGCAGTATAAAATTGAATAGAATACTAAATAGAATAGTGTTTGACTGGCAATACAGTACTTTCAATACTAAGTTGACGATTTAATGGACTTTACCGAAGAACTTCGACTTCTTTCCTCAGGATTTTACACATTAAAACTAGGTCAACCGAACGCTTTAAATGGTCTTTGAAGGCGAAGGGGCTTCCGAAAGTGGAAAGCCACCACTACACTGTTTGGTATTCGGACTTCATCTTCATCCAGGGAGTGTACTTCTCACATCTACACGTCCAACCAGAAGTGAGAATCATTCAGAATCCACCATGTACTGGGGGATCTTCGCCTGCTATTTGTGGGGGAGTGTTGATCCCCACTTGAATGACGTTGAATAGCAAAAGGCTACATTAGGTAATTAGGTGCAAGGTCAAATCAGACTGCCTATTTACAACAAAAAGCTGAGACAATTCCATGCTCAAGGCACCTTTGTCATATTCTTTTCTCAGGCTTGAGGCCCCATTTCCATCCTCACCAGAACGAAGATTTTCTCCACACTCTGAACGCCCAACTCTCCGAGGAATGTCCGGTGGTGCTGGATTTCTCCGGATGAAACGATCGAAGGATGATGCTGTCGTGATGTGCCTCAGTGAGATGCCTGATATTGTTGATTGCTGTCTTGGTTTGGCGAATCAGGTGATTTATGGGGATTTTACTATTTGAACAGGTTCAAATTCCCTGGCATGGGGAACATTGAGCATTTTTGTCCAGGTTCCTCAAGAAAATCCAAGCTGCGAGCGAAAAAAACGCGCTTCCAGCTGGGTTCATTCCCAGCTGTGGCTGAGAAAGGCTGGAGAGAAGATCTCTGCCTGTGTGCTGTTTGCAGATAGATCAGCTTCAGCACAGAACCGCCGGTGCTGGACGTTGAATTCTTGTGGCCAAGACCCTTCGCGCGGAGCTGGGTTTGGCGCCATGGAGCGCGGAGCTGTGGAGCGCCCCGCGCTCCCACCAGTCTGCACCGAACCGAAGGGTAAGACAAGGCTTAGCGCAGAGCCCAAAGTCGGCGGATGACAGCAAATGGTTTGAGCCTGCTGGTAAAGATGGACTTCAGATGGCTCACTCGTTGGTATTGCCGAGTGGATCGCATTGGGATGCCCCATGCCCATGCGCTTGTTATTTTTTGTTTAGAATGGGACTTCCAACGTGGAACTGGACACTTGCTACTGGGTCTTGATCTACCCCGCGGTCCAAATCTGAGGCCACATCCAAGTCTTGACGGTGTCCCCTGAAAGACCGCGACCTGTGGGCCAGGGAAGTCGCTTCAGCAGCAGGATATAGCTTCCCTCCAAATCAATGGCATTTGTGGAGTGAAAAGCCGTGAAAAGCCGTGAAATCCCTCCAAATCAGTGCTTTCCCAGGCACCCCACGGCACCATGATATCCATTTCGGACGTGTATGGCAGAGAAATTTGGGACACCCACCGTCAGGTTGGAACACGAAACGGCAGAGACGGAGAACCATCACCTGGAGACCATCCCCAGACCGGACGAGTGAGACTTCCTGCTAGAGACATAGCATTTAGATGCATTCAGCGGAAGTACCTGAAAATCTCAAGTTCGAATTCATGATGCAAAAGCTCGAAGAGGGCCCCCAAAAAATCCACTAAGACCTATACTTCATGAGCCTTGATGTATCCATTTACCCCATGGATGCCCGGTGAACCCAGTCCCATGGATGGTCTCGGATGGTCTCCTCCCCCCACAGACCGCCTTTTTGCGGCACCGCGGCGGACAGACCGGAGGCCTACGGCCAGTTGAGCGGCGAAGCACGGACGAAGCTGGAGGGGAACCCAAAGCGAAGCTGGTCGGAACCGTGGCTTTTGTGGTGTTCCGTCCCTTTCCGCCCAGATCCGAGCGGCAGAATGTCGAGCTTGAGTGTTCTGGAAGCGGCAGAGGTGGGGTCAGAGACTATCCTATATAGGTACTCCTGGTGACGGGTCCTATTTACGGTCACTTCTGTAGGAACCGGAGCTGTTTTGGAGTGATTTCACTACAACACCAGGTCAAGCATGCATCTAGTCATGCATGCATCTTTCAAATGGTCGACTGGACTACAACACCATCGGCAGCTTGACGTCATCCACCCAGATGCTCCAGAGTCGGGACAGAAACCCGTTCGCTGCTCGGTCTTGGACCGACACCAACATGTCCTGTAGCTGGTTTGAGGGTCCGCCTGTGGGCGAAGAATGTGGAATCACACCCAGAAGGTCCTAGAAGCTATTGATGGAACACTGGTTCTGAAAAATACTCAGTCTCCAGACTTCTTAGAGCTGCATTTGGCTTCCTTGGTTGCAGACAACCACATGTATTGTCAACGCTTCGTGGGGGGATGGTAGGGGGGGTAGTGGCGTTAGGATGCCTTGCCTGCTCAGTATGACCAGTCGCATTGGCGCTTTTGTTCTTGTCCATCTTCCATCGGCTCAATCTCGAACCAGCGAGCTATGACCAAACTGAGAATTGAGCAAACCAGGACCCATACACTCCATGGGACTGGAATAGGACTGCCGCCCCAGACAGACCCCCCTGGCACCACCCCGGCAGTCCGACATGGCAGTCCCAGACAGGTCGCCTTTGGGGGTCATTCAGTCCAGCTCCAGCACGGTCCTCCGCACGCAGGAGCAAGCGCTCCGGTTGCTGTCCGATGCGCAAGCCGATGTGCGGACACCTGGAGGGAAGCCGCGAGGGAGGGAGGTTTGTGAGGGACCCAGGTGCGCAGGGAGGTGAAAAGGGTGAAACTGTGTGAAAGGACACGGAAGATATGACCCGAATTGGAGGTAGACACAGTCAGAGATGAATTCCATGATCTTTCGTGGGTCATCCAAAGCAGAGTTTTGTTTTGAAGGTATACTGTTCTGCCGGCGTCGGATTGGAACACTGTCGAATTTCGACCCACCCTTCAGAGAGTCAGAGTGTCGAGTCAGGGGAGAAGGTCCTGGAGAAACGGCACTCCTTCCGATGTCAGAAGTGGGAAAGCCATGGGGAACATCAAGACGTGCTATGCAAGTGCATTGGAGGCTAGTGCGCCAGTGCAGCACGATGAGGGGATTGAATATTTGGAATCAGTTGGTGTTGCTATGGATCAAATACCAGTGTCCGCAAGGCCCAGCACGTGTTGGTCAAGGTGTTTGATCGATTGACTGCTTGACTTCATGGTCTGGTGTGGTCTGGTCGCCAGACGTCTGGCGACGAATCGCTCGGACTCCGACCCTCTCAGCGTCTCCCCACGCGGACCCGACGACCCGACTCAACGTCGGTGACGCCGTGGGCGTGGAATCGGAACAAGGACCGTGGCGATCAATTCGGATGAACGTGGTAGGTCTGCAGCCATGCGCTTCGCAACCCCGGAAGATGAACAACTGGTCCGAATCGCTTGGAGAATGCACTTCTTCATCGCTTGGCCCCTGAAATCCCCCACTCGTTGCGCGTAAAGTTACTCGTGTCGACCGTTTGGACCACATGCTCGTGGGTCTGCCTTTCTGGCCGTAGCCCATCGCCCATTGCTGCCGGTCGATTCCGGATTCGACTGCCAGGATTGGTGTTTACACCTTCTTGGTGTGGCCCACCCCAATCCTCGCAGTCAATGCTTAGCTTGCGATCGCTTTGTTGGTTCTGCGGAGTCACGTTGAGGATGCTGGCTGTGGCGGCAGAATCGAACAGTCTTGAGATGTTTTGAGTGATGTCCACACCGAACAGTTTTAGAGGTTTGCACTTTGAACGTGGTTCTTGTCCGTCTCTTTTTGAAAGGATGCAGTACTCCTTGGCGGTTGCGGTGGTTTTCCGGCTTTAATTCAGATGTTGGGCTGCGAGTAGCCTTAGCCAAATGCCCAGAGAACAACTAGCCTCTGAATCAAGATCAAATCCCTTAGTCAATTGAAGTTGTCCAGTGTCCATTTTTCATCTCTCAACAGGTTTGCGTGCCTAAAAGGATGACCTCTTGGGCCACGCGAAAAACACATCTGAAGACAGAGAAAGATTAGAACGAGCAGTCATTCACCCTGATGAAGACTGCCAGGAACTACGAACAGATGCCCGCCTGTTTCAGACCAATGGCTTGGTATTCCATGGTATTCAATCCCTACAAATCCAAGTACCTTCTCAGAAGGTGATTGGAGACTATTTATGTAGGCTTGGAGGGCCCAAGTACCTCCTGAGAAGGTATGTGGATCCCTAGGGAATGGTATTCATCTGAGATATCTGAGGACGCTCCACATGGAGAGGAAGCAGAGAGAGCGTGCTAAGCTGCTATGTTTGTGCAGGCCCACGAACAGATGAGGGTGAATATTGTTTCAGATGAAACTCGCCATCCACTATACCAGCACCTTCAAAGGGGTCACCAATGGAAGCCCCTACACTACCTAGGGATCTCCATTGGACACCCCTTTGAAGGTCCAGGTATATGTGGCCACTGTATTAGATTCATCCCAACAAATGAACGAGTTCTCTCGCTTAGTATGCTCACGAAACCAGCAGGGCCAAGGGCCAAGGGTGTGTTTCGTCTGCGCCGGCTTTTTCAACGTCGATTTCTCACACGACATGGCACGACGCACCGAAAAAGCCACCGTCGCTCGGAAGTGGAGAATTCACTCGACACAGACGTTGTTCGAAGCCTGGACGAACATCGTCCAGCCTCATGATGAAGTAACCCAACAAAACACGATCAAACCAGTGTGCCAAACACTCATCGTGTGTTCTTTTGAGTGCCTCCAGCTCTGCCAACATCAACATCCACGTGCTTCGGACCAAACGCATCGATCGCCCAAGGAGGCCTCGGAGCACAGTTCGACGTTGGTTTCTCCGATGGACACGGACGAGGCGAAGCCGGGGGACAGCGCCACACGGGCCCGCGACCGCGATAGCACGGCGGTAGAGCACGGGGGGCGGAACCGGTCGTGAATTTGGTTCAGAGATTCTGTTGAACCTGCAAACTGCAATTCATGAATTGTTAAAGCCAAAATGAAGTGCAAGGTTAACTTTCAGAATGTTCAACCTTTACTCGGGATGATTGAACCCGCTTGACGAATATTTGGTCGTTCGTGAGTTGAAACAACTGACAACCAGTGTGGTTTTGTGGATGAGAAGCGGGTGAGACGTGGTATTTGCGGAGACCTGTGTGGGTGATTTGTTCGTTTGGCTTAGCGCTTGCCACGTTCCTCATGTTCCTCAGAGGAAGACGAGGAAGGCCTTGGTTTTTGCGAAGAAGACGAGGAAGAAGAGTGGGTAGTACAGTCTCAGACAAGGTGAATCAATGAAGGACCCACCAAGGAGAAATTCAATATCTAAGACCCCCAAGACTGTTCCTTTCACCTACCTATCCAACGTCCAAGACACTCCATAATCCAAGTATCCAAACCAACTAACCCAAAGCCTACAGGTCTAAACCCAAGCAAGTATATGCCAAGGGCTTGAAAACCGTACATGTGATTGCGCTACGCATGTCATGGAGAGTGGTTTCAGATGGTTTCAGAGTAGATCGCACAGAACCGAAGATGTGTTCTATATTCTAGAAGTCCAGTTCGACGATATTTAGACCGGCTGGAGTAAAGGAAGTGTCCTT